GTATTTCGGAGAAAATTGCTTGAAAGAAGCGTATAAATTGCTTCTTCTTGTCCTGTAATCGGACGACTCCAATCACTAAAAAACCAAAAGGAAAATCAGTTGAATCGAGTTCAAAAAAAGAATGAAAAGACGGCCCAACTTACGGTGTGGTGAAGGGAATAAGACTAGATTGAAGTGGGCGGCTGTTGAAGAAACGACGAAGCGCCAAAAATACCCAAGAACGATCTCTGAGAAGCAGGAAATATAAAAAAATAACCAAATGAGAAAATACCTGAATGCTACTTACCGTAGAGAGACATCACGAAGACCTGCGGTGGAATGGACCATTACAGCAACCTCAGGAACAATCGGAGCAAAACTCTAAAAAAGAAGAAAGCGCATGAAAACAGAAAACGTCCTTGACTCACCTCCCCGAGAGCCTTTAAAGGATATTCATGATTGTCTGGGCCATTAAACTGTATATGATGCAAAAGTTTTGACACATCAAACCCATTGAGAATTAAATGCGAGCAAACACTTTGAATATCATGAAATTTCATTTCCTTGATAATTTCAGCAATTGGAGGACGCGGCGTAAATTCGATGGATTCGTCCTTCGCTAATGTTTTCCATAGAATTTCGGGTTGACGAGTGACACTAAATCTAACAAGGACATTCCAAAGAGTGATTGTTGTATTTTCATAATCCATTCCAATGTTTAACAAATACTGACGAAACGTTCTTTCCTCTAATTCCTCAGATTTAGATGTTGGAGGATGAGCCAGTGAATCCTTGGGATCACTTGACCGACCAGATGTGAAATCTACATCCTCGTCATCATCACCGAAATGATCAATGCTCGAGAATTCAAAAATTTCATCTTCATCTTCGTCGTTATTCTCAATGGTTTTCTCCAACTCTCCATGTTTTTCAATGAGCCTCCCTAATCCTGGAGCTAATCGCTGTTTTCTTCTACTTCCCCAAAATCTTCCAAATTCATTCGTTGGAGAAACTCCCGATGTTTCACAAGAGGTCTTCCAGATAAAAAAGACAAGAAGGAGAAAAAGACGGACGGTTGAAATCAAAAAGAGCGTCATAGTTCAGCGTTCTTTACCACCCTGTATTAACATTTTCTGCCCGTTTTTTGCACGATCCGGAACAGAATCGGAATCTGTTTCCGAGCTGCTTCCGGGCAGTCACGGGTTCACATGCAGTGCCTCATGAATTGGTCGCCTAGTAGAATTTGCTTTTTTATTTGCACATCCTATCGGGCTGACGCTTCCAGCAAGGCCAAGGCACCCCGGTACTATGTTAGTTTATCACTGGACCACAAATCAGATGCAATCAATAGTTATGGCATGAATTTTAGCTTGTTTCACTCTCACGGTGCATTCGAGTTAACGTGAACCGTAATGGAGATGAAATGAAAGCAGATGGAGACCAAAAAAACGGGAGTCATAAAAGTAACGGCATGGGACATGAACATTTGGGCTCTGCGCGAGACTACTTTGCACTTTGCGACGCGGCAAGAAAGTCCGAAGACGGTGTTGGGTGAGCCATTTGGATATTCGAGCCATAGGACGCAGACTGAGATGCATTGATGACAGTAGCATCAGCAGCGGACGAAGCAGAGGCCAATTCGCCAGCTGGACCGTAAAAAATATTCAAGAGAGATAATAGCAGAGGAGAGCGCAGATCAAACACAAAACCAGAACTGCAGGGCCAACTCGGTCATTGTAGTTGATTGGTTCCTTTCTTTCAAGGCTGTAACTTCGACGAAGATAAACCTGAAGATGATAAAACGTCAACAACACAACCCCAAAATGGCAGGAACTTACAAAAAAGGAATAGATGATGAAGAAAAGAGCAACTGGAGCCATGATCAATCCGGCCATTCGTCCAGTCTGGGTTCCAAAATTGAGCAATGTGATGGAGATAGTCGATAACAAGACGGCTGTATTCATCCACTGAAGGAGGGTCCGTTCATTCGCAAAGAATGTTTTTGGCTCGACACGAACAGCCGCGCTACCAACAGTCACTATAGGAAAAGATAAGCACCACCCAATTTGAAGTCTTGACTCACCAGGTGCACTCGACAACGATAACCAGGCTGGCCAGAGAGAGAACGGCATGCAAATGTATCGCCAGTACCGAGTAGCGATGCTTTCAATCTCGCTTGGCTGTTCAGTCGATGGAGCGATCAGCAGTGGAGTCCTCGCGCTCGAACCCCGCCCGGGACGGCGTAATCGCATGGTATGGACTTGAGGGCTCCGCTTGTCTTGACAGCAGCGGTTCGTTGAGACCCGAGAGTCTCTGAGGAGGTCTTGTAGGAGTAACTGATGTTCTCTGGGACATACGGCGTTCTTCGGTGGCAGCACTGCAAGTATCCTGATCAAGCACAAGATCAAACATTGCATGGGAACAGAAGCGTACTTGTTGTAAAGTAACTGCGTGTTCATGTAGAAGACGAGACCCCCGGCTTTGTTGAAACGACATCCACGCGAAGGGCTGCACTACTGTCTCCACTTGGGTGGAGCGATGCGGATGCTTCTCGTGGTGGCTTCGTCTCTCCAGCGTTTTTTTGATTTGTCCTTGCTTGTGTCTTCCACGTCCGTCACTATAAACTGGAACCAGTGCGGAAGATCGCTGCTGCCTAGAACTTCCCGTCGGACGACAGCAGTTCCGTGTAGCTGGGGGGCGTATCTCCAGACTTCTGAGACGGTCGTTAATCCTGTTACTTTGGGAAGGAAACTTTGGTTTTGTGCTTCCCGAGAGAGAAATCGTGAGAACTCCGAATGGACATGAATGAACGCTCTTGTCGAAAATAAACGGGGACAAATGAGGAGCCAACACAAACACTCTCGAAAGAAGGGTCCCGACTAGCGACAGAAGAGAGATCAGTGAAACGAATCCCTTCATCGAGGTGCGCGAAAATGGGTCGATTCACACGTGAACCAGTCCTTCTGAAATGCGAGCGATGCAACCATTCCTGGAAAATCGGTTTGCACTGTCTATTCTTCAAAAATTTCAAGGCTCGATCGATTGTCTCATTTGATTCGGTTGACTGGAATTTAGAGAGAGCCGATTCAAACGAAAGCTGTCCGTCCAATAGACTTGGAATACATCCCCGATCAAGAGGGAGTGCGTGTTCCGCAGAGAGTCCGGCGTCGTACCACTCATTTGGCGAATCCGCAGGTTGAGACGCCTTGACGACTTCCAAAACTGCTTGTGCAGCAGGAAGATCCGGTTGCTGGCGAAATGATGGAGTCCAGCGAAGTCGAAGGACTTCAGCTGTTGCTTCAACAATCTGAAATAGGAAGCGAGTGAGTATTTAATTTTATCACTATCTTGTACCTGAGGCTTCAACAATTCCCCGATAGACGTCTAACCCACTATTGTCAAAATACAAACATCCAGCACTGACACGATTTTGCTCGAACCGATAAATGGCAGGATTAATGAAATTACCACTTGCATCCAGGACAAGTTTGTTAACGCGGGCACATAGAGGGAGTTGTTGATCTGATCGATTCGTTGGTCCTTCAATTGTGACACAGGTACTTCCCTGCTGATGATGGTCAGGAATTCCACTGAGAAATGACTTGACAATTTCCCTTGAGGGTCTTGGACATGAAATCAAACCCAAGGACGTCAAAGGAATGTGCTTGGCAAGATGAACGCGGACACTGAAAGAGAAAAAAAAAAAGTCAACAGAGGACGACGTCTCTAACCACTAACCGCATCAAATCCGCTTCCCCAACTAAGTAAGTGGTATGTGTCATCCCTGGATGATCCGTCGTCGTCGTCGGAGGATTCTCCTCATCAAAATCGACGTCGTCTTCCTCGTAACCAATAAACTCTTCGTCATCTGATTCTTCCGAATGTCCTAATTTTTCTAATCTATGCAATAGAACTCGTTTGATTCTTCGCATCTCACTGAACACTATTGACGTTAACTCCACCAAGAAGTCAAAATTGAGATTGGCTCCTTAACGAGTCGAGCCAGATAGAATCCGCTGGCAGACGATTTGTTGTGCTTGTCATATTTCTTCGTTATTTTACGAAAACCAATGAAATTCAAACGGACATAAGAGTGAAGATGCGGAAGACCATCAGCCGAAGTTTCTGCAGTGTCTCTGAGTTGATTGAGATCATCAAGACTAGAAACATCGCCATGGTAAAGAATCTTTAAAGCGGCCCTGAAACAGCAACAATGATGACAAACAGGCAGGCGGAGCAACTCACTGAAGATTGGAACTGATGGAAGAATAGATCAGAGCGGAAAATTTATTGATTTTCTCAACTTCGAAATTTAGAAGATCCTGAAACCGACTTTCAGGTGGCCTGGGAATTCAAACGATCATCAGAATGGAAAACTCTATTCAACCACTGACCGGTATGTAGAACCAGCTAACGCGGGAATATTCCCGAAATTGCTGGTCACCTCAGCTATTGTGAACTGGGATGTGTCTGTCCCCGTGATAAGTTTAATTGCTTTTTTCAACTCCTTGTAGGCGATGTAGTGGGGCTGAAACTCCTCATAAGCTTCCTCTTGCAACCGTCGTCCAAATTTCATCGTAGAGCTGCAACAGAGTGACCTTCAACAGATGCGGGGTGCAAAACCAAGGAACCACACTGAGCAGCCAAGTTGGACTCTATCTGCTCAAACACCCGTTTCCACTAAGACAAGCGCTTAAGAAGAAACGAAAAGGTAGTCTATCTAGTATTCCTGAAATTAAGTCCCGTAGTGCATGTGGCACCAGATTTTTTTTGAGGTTTCTTAATATGTATTGAGCTTCCGTCCTTAAAAAGAAATAACGTTTTGATTGAAGTATCGGTTTCCAGTCTATTACGGCCGTCCACCAGAATCCACAGACTGACCAGAACGAGGTTTCTTTGTGGAATGGTATCCTAGACAAAGATGCAGCAAGGTTTCTTTGCGTGGACACTCTCTCAGCCAACTCGAACAAGCTTTTCTTCGACCTTTTGGCAGTCTTTGTATCAACAACTTTTTCAGCATGATGGCTCCAGTTGGAGACAAAAGTGCTAGGAATCTGCTCTCAAGTTCGACAGGGAGACCTCGGGGTCTGGTGAGCGAAGACGTCGATGGTAGGAAGGTTGTAAAGAGGCGACGATTCCGACTTGGTTGTGGATTCTGTCGCTCGAGTCGACTGGGAACGTCTGAAAGTGTTTATGCATTCAAGAACCAACCCTCTGCTACCGAAGAAGATGAAGGGCTTTCGTTCCAATCCTCGCCAGATTTCGAGGCCGAAACTGAATCCCGCATTGAAGATGAAAGAAGGCAATCTTGGATCGTCCAACATCTCGACGATCCAAGCGCTATCGTCGAACGGAATCTTACTGATGAACAGCAACCAGTGCGGCAGAATACTTCAGAGGACGACACGGCGTTAGTCAGCAGTTCTGCTCAACAGGAAGAGCCCAGGGTCGCCTCTGCTCCTCCAGAGAGTCCTTCGTCTGATCCCTGTTCAACTTCTTCTTCCGCTTCCCTCCAGCCGTCTCCACAAGCGCTTCGCTCTGCCCGGCCAACATCTTTTCAGTCGAACACTCCTGAGCCCGAGCGATCTTCTGAACGGTCCCACGTGCGTAGAAGGAAGTCGCAACAAAAACGTCGCTCCAAAAGAAGCAAACACCAACAGCAATCTGTAGAAGAACTCCAATTCTATTCCCAGGAGGACCGGTTAAGCGACAAATCTGCAATCCAATACCCGGGATCACCCCACCATTCACGACGTCAACACTCTTCCTCAAACCCCTCAATTTTCCCCCCTTCCTTAACACTCAATTATGAGCCTCCTTCTATAGCACATGACCATCACCGAACAACTCCTTGTTTCCCTCAACTTGATGTTCCATCCACTCAATCGGAACCTCTTCCAGCAGCCGGATCTTCCCTTGATCTCCCTTTCCCATCAACTCCAATTTGTTCACACTCCGAATCTGATCTCGAATCCGGGGCGCCTCTTCCTCAATTTGCTGAAGATTCTATCGCGACAGCCACGCCAACATCTTCACGACGAGGTCTTTTTGGTTTCCTTCTAAATCCTCCAAGATCTTCCCGTCCTCCCCCACTTCCTCCATTTCCTTCCCCACTTCAACCGTCAGAGAATCCAGTCGCTCTGTCCAACGACTCTGCATTCCACACACCCTTGAAGCTTCAACAGGTTGATGACAAAGACTCCTCAGGCGGTCGCTTCTTCACCCCTCGCAAGTGGAAGTCCAAGAAAACTGATGGAAAGCGCAACGGGACGCCAACCAATTCTCAAGACGGTTCCTGCAGACAGAAGAATATCGATGGTTTCTCTAGCTTCCCCCCCGAGATTTTAGCAAATGGAAGGGAATTGCGTCCCACTGCAGCGGCTGCACCTGTTTCCACCCGATCGACTAAATCCCCCCGTAGTCTTGTGGCTCAAGTGCAGCAGCCATCAGCGCGAAGCTCCACTGGGAGGCTTCCCTCTCTTCTAACAACATTGATTCATCAGGGAGGTCAGACACCGAGAGTCGCTACCCCGCCCATGTAAGTCAAGTCGAACGGAAAGCCGAATCTTGATTTCTCAACTTCGCAGACATCTCGCCACAATAGAAGGGAATTTCGGACCATTTCTTGGGTGAGGTGTGTCTTCATTAAATGGTGTCATTGACGCGTTTTTCAGACCTCAAAATAAAGTGTTAAGGGGTCGTCCAACATTAGTTCTTGATCTTGATGAAACTCTAGTGCATAGTTCCTTCGTTGAGGTCCCAAATTACAGTTTCATTATTCCCGTAAGAAATCGATCACATAAGAATCTTGAGTCTTTGCTGCTCTTTAAGGTGGAGATCGATGGCATCACACACCTCATCTATGTCGCAAAACGACCGGGTGTCGATCAGTTCTTGCAGGCGGTTTCAAGATGCTATGAAGTTGTAATTTTTACTGCTAGTTTAGCTAAAGTAAGTCAACAATCTGTTTGAACCGAAACTCGTTAATGATTTTGAAATTCATCTTTAAATGTTTTTGTTTGTTTTAGTACGCAGATCCACTCATGGATCAACTCGACCCTCAACGTTACTGTGTCGCACGCTTATTTCGGGAGAAGTGTGTTTTGTGGAATGGTCAATATGTCAAAGATTTGTCACGCATGGGACGCGACATTCGCAAATTGGTGATCTTGGATGTAAGATGTTTCACATGGTAGCTTCGAACACATTTTTCTCCTTTCAGAATTCTCCAAATTCTTATGCTTTTCAAGTAAGACCCTTGTCTGTGTTTTTCGCCGTTTTCATTCTTCTTCAGCCTCAAAATGCACTTCCGATCGAGTCATGGTTTGACGACCCAGCAGATGACGAGCTGTATCAATTGATCCCGATACTTGATGCGCTTTCGAAGGTGAGTCAATTGATTGGTCAGTCTCATCGTTGCTCAGGTTGCAGATATTCCCGCAGCCATCACTCGAGTCGCAAGTGCGTGAAAGTCGATTGTTGCGAGTCTGGTCATGGAATCCTATTGATGGCATGATTCGCCTCTTTTTCCTCCTCTTCCCTCATTTTTCAGTTTTTCGAATAGTTTCAGATTCCGTGTTCAGAGTCTCACTGTGCGGCACAGTTCAGTAGCAACACCATTTTTTCGGCTTCACTCTCTCCACTTCGATTGGAGCCCGCTGCTGCTCTGCATGCTCTAGAAACGCTGATTTTTTCCAGTCTAGCTGCAGGTTTGTGCCACCTAATAACTGAATGAACTGATGGATTCTTTCGTTCTCATACCTTCAACTATACTCTGTACGAACTGATTCACTTCATGGGTGTCGGTGGCGTTGATTTCGAAAAGGTCAGAACCTGATGGCCAGTCGATAATTCTATGAACAAGATGAAAATTGTACCATGAGATGATGCAAATTTTCTTCCATCTTTTTGAGACACCGCTTCTGGACTGTTACTCGAACCCTTTTTTGCCGCGACTACAACGATGCGGCAATTCGGGGATTTTT